CATTTGTCATAGTTTGACAGGATTAAAATAAAACACACCTGCCTGCTGTGATTCACATCTGACTCACACTTTATCTCTCTCTCTCTCTCTCTCTCTCTCTCTCTCTCTATCTCTCTCTCTCTCATGTATATAACTACAACATCATCACCAGCACAGATTCCTAGTAAATGGGCCAAACTGCTGATCCGAATAAAGGAACGATCTGCTTAAATCAAGACACTGCAGGTTAAGAAAGTAAACAGAAATATCTAATAGTTATCCCCATGTTTCCTCAATGATTTGTTAAATTACTGTATTTCACATTTTTTGAAATGTTGTTTAAATATTTAAATGAGGCAATAAATATCAAACATTTTCAACACAGGCCATTCTGTAAACGTAGCACTATATACATTTCTGGAGATCATGATTTATGAAGCCAGAAGAACGTATGGCTGCGTTTCGTCTTTAAAATAAACGCTCCGGGGTGGTATGATGCCATTCCTTTTCGCGCTTACAACTGACCGCTTACCTCCATTTAGACGGCTTACCAGTTTGTCCAGTTAGCTTGCCATATACGTCGGTGGACTTGAATTGCAGAGAGGAGTTGATCACGACGACGGTGTTTGAGTCTGGTGAAGAACGGTTCCAGAAAGCAGATAAGACAATAACAAAAGACAAAAAATAAAATAAACAAGTTAATAACAGGGTGAGAATGTGGTAAAACGCGTAAAAAATCCGGCGAGGGTTTTTCTTTTTCTGAACTGCTTTTTAAATTTGTCGATGGGTTTAGGGAAGTGGCTGGGTGGGTCAATCGTTGCTCTTTAAAGTATTATTGGTTGGGTTTAGTGAAAGCGGGAGGCGGATCAGTCAATCAGTCGGTCAGTCAGTCATTCGGTCAGTCAAAAAGTCAGTAGACAGCGGCCTCTGGTGGATTTACAATAGAACAGCAGGTGCGAATGGCACTCTGATTAGACTGGCACTCACAGCGGCCTCTGGTGGATTTACAATAGAACAGCAGGTGCGAATGGCACTCTGATTAGAATGGCACTCACAGCGGCCTCTGGTGGATTCGTGAAAACTGCAAAAAAAAATTACCTCCTGAGACATATTTGGCAGTCTCCGAAAATGTATATAGAGGTCCGTTTTCAGAATGAGCCTGGCTTAACAATTTTACACTCATTTATAGCACAAAAATCTGAACATTGACTAAAAGAATCACTTTTCATCCCTCAATAATTCAGAAGAAAACTTTTTGTAGAATACAGTGTTTACAATCAGATTTATGGATCAGTTATGGATAAATTAAATTTGAGAAAATGGCCTTTAAATATATGTATTGTAATCAAAATCTACAGTCATACATTGATTGTGTTATAAAATAAGCACTTGATTGTGCATTTATGGGATGGTTTTATTTCATTATTAGGAAAAAAACACTTTATGAAACGCCAAAAAAGCTCAAAAGCAGCAATTTGATTTAGCAGCTAATTTGTATGATTTGCATGATCTCTTTCGTACAATTTAGTATGATTTTCCAATCTCCTATTAACGGTTGGGTTTAGGTGTGGGGATTGGTGGCACGCCCGCTTTTCAAAATCGTACAATTTCATATGACTAAATGCACAAAACGTAAAATAGTTACAGCATAAGCTCATTCTGTAAACGTTGCCCTATATACATTTCTGGAGATCACAAATTATGTAGACAGAAGTACGTATGGCTGCATTGCGTCTTTATGGTACGAGGCAGTACGAGGCAGTATGGCACCGTTCATTTTCACGCTTACTAGCTGACCAATTGCCTCCATATGGTTGGTTTTCCTGCTGTTACCAGTTGGTCCAATCAGCTCGCCATTTATGTCAGCGGACTAGAGATGCAGAGTGGAGTTGATCAAGATGATGGGGTTTGACTCTGGCAAAGAATCGTTCCAGAAAGTGGGCAAGACATAAACAGAAACCAAAAATATCAAAATAAGTAAATAACAGGGCAGGTCAATCGGTGCTTTTGAAAACACTATTGATTGGGTTTAAGGAAGGAGAAGGGTGAGTCAATTGACAGCAGCCTCTGGTGGATTTACGCGAGAACAGCAGGTGGAGATCTCAAAAAGCGTACACATCAGGATGTATTTGCCGCTCTTCAGAAATGTATATGGCGTTTTATTTATATATATATATATATATATATATATATATATATATATATATATATATATATATATATATATATATATATATATATATATATATATATATGTTTTCAGAATGTAGTTGGGTTGAATAGTGACGTTTTCTTGTGAGATCAGGCTGAAAAATCTCAAAACTGAGGTGTGCATGAAAAGTGGTTTGGTCTGTAGAGTCACACCTTAGAGTTTGTGACAACTAAGGATGAATATGAGTATCGGGCTGTGTTACTGTGTTTTCTGTAGCACTTATTCACAGTGCAAGAGTGTGTATTTGGGACTAATTGGGGTGATGGAGCTTCTGAGCTGTAAATGTGATGAGTCACTTTCCTATAGGCACTGCACACACTGCTGGCTTTTAAACATTTGATGGAGACAAACTGTGTGTGTGTGTGTGTGTACTGTATACATTTAGAGATGAAAAATGGGTCTTATTCAGTGGTGGGCAGATTTTCGTGATGCTCTTTTCAAGCTGCTTTGATACACATTTTGAAGTGCTTGCTTTTTCTGACTGTTTTATCCTCATCAGCATTTAGTTCTCTAACTGGAGGTTCTCTAATGGACAGCACATTTTAATAATGTCAACCTGGAAAAAATGTTTTTTAGGATGAACCGGCTTTATTCAAGTCATTATGCAATAGCTTGGAGCCGCAGACGTCATTTAAAAAGTCATTGTTTAATGAATATGTCAGGGAAATGGGATGTTCAGCAAGAAAACTAATAGAACAGGGCTTGAGTTTTTCCTTCAGGAACATTTTTCAAATCTTTTTGAATTAAATATCTAAAGAAACATTTAAACAACGGATTATGCACATAAAAGAGTGTGTATTATTTGTATATATTATTTAGCTGAAAATATTGTGCAGAAATATGCTGAAAATCATAGACATGCTTTCTCAGTGCCACATTGAGAAATAAAGTTGAATTGCGCTGAATCAGATGTTTCATTCATTTTAAACAGGTAAAATATGCTTACACTATACATAGTTAGGGTCGCCAATGACCTTTTACACTTTAAAAAAAATGATAGAAAACGATAATTCTATGATGATTGTCTATTTCATTATGTATGCAGAATGAATTTAAAAAAAAATTAGATTTTTGGATTTTTGGCAAATAACCCCCCATGGATTCCTAACCCTGATATATTAATTAACTCATGCTTCTTGGGAAACACTTTAGAATCATGGTCCATTAATTGTATTTACTAACACAAACTAAGTATGAATAATCTTGCAAAGCATTTATTAATCATAGTTTAAGATTTACTAATTAAAACCCAAAGTGCTTGTTAGTTAATGCACAGTGAGTTAACATGAACTAGCATTATTTGCCTAAAAAACATTAAATAAAGTTTAATAAATACTGTTCTAATTGGTTTACTAATTGTTTGTTTGTGTTAACAAGATTAGTTTAGTCTATTTAAAAATGGACAGGACAGGGTTTTGCAGCACAATTCCCTGAAATGTGTCAAACCCACACTCGAATCAATATTCATTCATTCATTTTCTTTCCGGCTTAGTTCCTTTATTAATCTGGGGTCGCCACAGTGGAATGAACCGCCAACTTATCCAGCACATGTTTTACGCAGCGGATGCTCTTCCAGGTGCAACCCATCTCTGGGAAACATCCATAAACACTCATTCATACTCATACACTACGGACAATTTAGCCTACCCAATTCGCCTGTACCGCATGTCTTTGGACTTGTGGGGGAAACTGGAGCATGCGGAGGAAACCCACGGGAACGCGGGGAGAACATGCAAACTCCACACAGAAACGCCAACTGACCCAGAGGCTCGAACCAGCGACCTTCTTGCTGTGAGGCGACAGCACTACCTAATGCGCCACCGTGACGCCCTCAAAAATAATGAAAAAACACCAAACACTATAAATAAAAGAGTTCATGATGTTTTTGTAATTACAAATGTAATAAATACAGTGAATACATTACATAACATGAACTAATAGACCATTATTTTAAAGTGTTATCCCTTTTTGTCCTTAAATGATATCTACCCCACACTACATGTGATTGCTTCGTTAAGGCTTCTGAATGGCTCTTTCCTGAACTGCGATCTTACTTCAGTGACATTTTCATTATTGCATGGGCCTTAAAATCCAAAAAAATCTAGATGAAATGAAAATGATTAAATGAGCTTTAATAGTCCGAGCAGGTCAAGCCATCTTTCTTTGCCTGCACATTTTGCAAGACTGATCATTATAAAGCAGCATCACAGATCCAGCAGTGAGAAAAACACTCACGTGGCTGAAGAGACTAATCAGTGCTGGGCCACGTCATTACAGAGCTCACACTCCAGCCAAAGAGGAGAGAGGTGTTTCTTGCACCCACCCTCTTTAACAAACCGAAACATTTAATGGTCTATTTTGGTGGCTGGTAAAAAAATAAATCAATAGCAGAGAGAGAGATGAGCTCTCAAAGTGCTCAAAACAGACGGTTATATAAATAGCAGCTCTTGGCTTTTTAAATTACGGACGGCGAGGGAGGGAGGGAGGGAGTGATGTCATCAGTGGTAGCTGCAGGCAATCATGCGGCCCATTCATTTCTGTGGTTTTGTGTGTTTGTGTGTGTACACGCGAGCTGGTTTTCTGGCTTGTGCGTGTCACTTCCTGGGATTGAATAGAGCAGGAAGTGGAGTGGCAGGGTGTAAGAACAACACCTCTGTGGTGGGCTTCACACACACACTAGCTGGACTCGCATGTGTGTTTGTGTATTGACTGAACTGGCAGGAGTCCCTTCAGCTCTGCCCTGTTTTGGCTGCTTGTTTGTGTGTAAATAGGATGTACTGAAACACTGCCCTCTTCTGTTTGCTTTCAGAAATGCAGGCCACTGAGCAGAACTGCACTTGGACCTGGTAAGTCGCACCTGTCAGTAATTACAATTTGTTGGATGGGTTTATGAGCAGGTTTACATTTAAGTTCAGCTCTGTTATTTGAACTGGAAGTATTTAAATATAAACGAGTCTGATTCCTGTTTTTAAGCACTTTTCAAAGGAAATATTTCCTCTTTGATGATGTTATTAAAATTGTTATTCACAAACATTAGCAGCACTTTAAAAAAATATTTTTTTTTTTTCAAATGTTGTATGCAAACCACATTATAACTTCGAAAGTTATACACTTATACAGCACCATTACAAAGTTACTAGGGCTGGTCTGATAAACGATATTATATTAAATCGCAAATCGATAACAACGATAAGCTCTGGGCTTTTTGCTCTATATTGATCTAAGAGCCAATCACACAGCAGAAATGTGCAACAATGGGAATCTAAAAGTGTGTTAACATTACAAATGTACCGAATTTTTGACAAAAATTATCGGCCACCAAAAATGTTAATATATGCCATTTAATGGACTCTCTAATTTCCGTGGCTTCAGTCTTTGTTGGGATACTCTTTTAAATCTGGAAGCATTAACAACTCATATCGAAACATATATCATTATCGTTCAGGATGGAAAAGAATTATCGAGATTGCATTTTTGCCATATCGCCCAGCCCTACTAGTTAATGTAATTAGATTATTTCCACACAAAGAATTACTGTTCATTTTCAGTTTATTTAATTACAGTGACTTTATATAATGTCCTTGTACACAAATTCGACAATTCTGGATCAGTTAATTAAATGAAGCAAAGGAATTAATTTATCAAGTAGATTGAACATGTTTGAGAAACAATGAATGAAATGTATGTCAATATGCACAAAATATAGTGACATTGCTTTGAAATAATTTGTGTTTTGATGCATATAATGCTTATCATTTTTAAAGTTTTTCATTTTTAATAAAAATAAAATGTCCTGTTTGGCTCTGATTTCAGCAACATGAGCTCATTCTAAAATGTAGCCCTATATACATTTCTGGAGATTGCGAATTATGTAGCCTGGAGTACGTATGGCTGGATTTCGTCTTTAAAACAAAAGCTACGGGGTGGTATGACGCTGTTCCTTTTCATGTTACCAGCTGACCGCTTACCTCTGTATGGACGGCTTTTCTGTTGTTATCAGTTTTCCGGTAGGTCAACATGTACAAGTTGACCATGGCAATGGGGTTTGAGTCCAGTGATGAACTGTTCTAGAAAGCAGGTAAGACAAAAACAAAAGCTAAAAAATAAAATAAAGTAAATAACAGGGTGAGAATGAGGCAAAATCTGAAAATGTGGGGAAAAAAATTCAGGGGGCTTTTCTTTTTCTGGACACTTTTTTGTTTTTCAAAACACTTTCAGTTGGGTTTAGGGAAGTGGGTGAGCGGGTCAATTGGTGCTGTTTAACAAAAACAATTGGTTGGGTTTAGGCAAGGAAAAGGGTGGTGGGATCGGTCGTTTGGTCAGTCAGTAAATCAGAAAGTCAACAGCGGCCTCTGGTGGATTAACGTGAGAAAAGCAGGGGCAAATGGCACTCGTGAGAGAAATTTGAGATCTGAAAAAGCATATACAGCGGCATCTGGTGGATTTACAAAAACTGCAAAAAAAAAAAAAAAAAAAACTTAGCTCCTGGAATGTATTTTGCTCTCTCTAGAACTGTATATAGGGGTAGGGGTACAAAACCAGAATGAGCCTGGTTTGGTTTAGGTAGACGCTGAATTTAAGTTCTAGTGTCTATTTAAACACTGATTTTTTTGTGTTGAGTTAAGTAATTAACTTAATGAGTTAAGCTAATTTAAGCTAGTTGAGCTACTTTCAAACATCGTAATTACAAATGTCATTTAAGTACATTTTTAATAATGTAATTATTACATGATTACTTTTTGAAGTAACTTACCCAACACTTCTCTTGTATTACTTTTTCATTATTTTGATTATTTTAATTAGTTTTTGCTAAGAGACTGCCCATTTTAGAGTGTCTTTTTTTACATGTTCCATGTACTTATTATAGTAATTACAATTCATTAAGCATGATTGAACACTTAACTAACCCTAAAACTAACCCACATTCTAACTCTAACAATATAGTAAGTACGTGTAATTTCATTTTCCTTCAGCTTAGTTCTTTTCTTCGCCAGGGGTCGCCACTGCGGAATGAAACAACAACTTTATCCAGCATTTGTTTTACACAGCAGATGCCCTTTTAGCTGGAACCCGGTACTGGGAAACATTCAAGCGACATTGCTAACCACCGAGCCAACGTTTATTCTTCCTTCTAAACTCTTCCTTCAAAATCAGCACAGAAATGTGGAAAAAGGCTATTTCATCCTGACTTAAAGATTAAATTTTATTCTCCTGTTTCTTTCAAAGCCATTTCTGCACCTCTAGAGGCAATACCCGCGATTCCAGAGGTAACAGTTGTATCCAAACAAGCTTCTGACATGCTTTCTCCATCTGCCATTATTAAAAAAATACCCTTACCACTAGTTTTGCCTTCTCAGACTGGCTAATAACCACAGCGGTACACAGTCACACTGTTATTATTTGCCATTCACAGGGCCTAGTTCTGCTATAGAGACAGGTGTGATTTCTCAAGACAGCCAGTTCAGTAATATGTAGCTGTAAAAAAAACAAACAAAAACACCTGAATTCCTAGCAGGACCTTTAATAGGCGTTGCAGGCTGCTAGAGTTGTGCTTTTCTGAATAGTGTGTAGCATACGAGATATTTTCTCTCCAATTAAACTGACATATCAGAGCATTAAAGCTAGCACCGGTTAACAGAAAACGGTTAACTGTCACTCCATGTAAAAATCAAGCCTGCCGTGTGACTTAGGCCATTAAATCAGACGCCTCCTGTGTCTTCCAGAGTGCGAGAAACTGATAATAAGGTGTGTAATAATAAACACGGTGAGCCAAATCTGTGTGGGCTTCTCAGCATTCAGTGATATGAGAAGGTGTGCAAGGATGATGAGAAATATAAGGAAACAAATGCCTCAGCTGTGTCAAACACATGTTGTTTTTAAGCATGAATAGACAATTTTAAAGGGACAGTACATATATGAATTAATAATCTGGGATTTACACTACCTGACAGAAGTCTTGTCGTTAATCCCAGTTGTAAGAGCAACAAATAATAACTTGACTCCTAGTTGATCATTTGAGGTATGTTGTTCCCATGAATTATCTGTTGATAGGCATCCCAATCATCATAAATACTGCAGAAGACCTATTGGAAGCCACATGGACCCAAGATTCTCACAGAAGTTTGGTCAAGTTGATTTTTGGTGAAGAAAAAAATCATGGTTTGGGGTTACATTTAGTACAGGGGCATGCAAGATATCAATAGAGTGGATATCAACATCAACAGCCTGAGGTTTCAAGACATTTGTGCTGCCCATTACACTACAAACAACAGGAGAGGGCAAATTCTTCAGCAGGATAGCGCTCCTTGCCATACTTCAGCCTCTTCATCAAATGTTCTGAAAGCAAAGAAGGTCAAGGTGCTCCAGGATTGGCCAGCCCAGTCACCAGACCTAAACATTATTGAGCATGTGGGTAAGATGAAGCAGGAGGCATTGAAGATAAATCCAAAAAATCTTGATGAACATTGGGAGTCCTGCAAGAACACTTTCTTTGCCATTCCAGATGACTTTATTAATAGGTTATTGCAGCATGATCATATTTATTTTGGTAAAATAAGCGTAATCTAGAGGCCTTTGCCTTTCATATAAGCCACTTCTGATACCAAATGATCAACTAGAAATTAAGTTATTATTTATTTCCTAAAACTTGGATAAGCGACAAGACTTTTGTCAGGTAGTGTTTCTCTTTTTTGACAATGGTAAAAGTAATTGGGGACCAATTAAATGATTTTAGGTGAGCTGTCTATTTCAAGATCTGTGAAGCAATATTTTTGTATTATTTAGAATTTATGTTGGTCTAATTTTTTATTTTAATGTTTTATTTTAAAATTTTTATTTATGTCATTTTATTTATGGTAGGTTTGTTTTAGCAAGATCTGGCAACATGACTGAATCAAGGACACTTTTCTTGTGATTTCTTTCTCTTCTCAGTTAATTATATTGCTTGCATAAAGAACAAAGATATTAAAGTACATCAATAACTTGTTCTTTTTGGCTCTGTACACAATGTAAACTGTATTTTTTACAAATACCTTTAGTTTTCAGGAGTAAAAAAAGGGAAAGTTCATCCAAAAATGAAAACTACCTCATCATTAATTCTCCCTCATGTAATTTTAAACCTATAAGAGTTTATTTTTTCTGTTAAACACGAAAGAAGATATTTTGAAGAATGCTGGCGAAGCATTCTTCAAAATATCTTCTTTTGTGTTCAACAGAAAATAGAAACTCAAATAGGTTTTAAACCAGTGGAGGATGAGTAAAAGATATATTGTTTAAATTTTAGGTAAACTATCTCTTTAATTTGATTATTGAATGCAATCGTCTCTCTCGTAAAAGTCTGAACTGACTGTAGAGAACAGGATTAAACACAAAAAGGTGAAGCGACAACCAAATTGAGCTGTACTGTGTACACAGCCATAGAAAGGTGCGGCTAATTTTCACGTCTCACAGCATTTAAGGCACCGTGCCACGAACAAAACGCAATTATAATGACGTACATCAGTGTTGTGTTGGCGGAGGTAAGTACACAAGTTATCTTGAAGGACCTTCAGTGGCCCGAGTGCAGGTGAGTGACCAATCCTGTTCGTGTTTGACGTCTACTTTGAATGATGACATTGTTTCGAGATCTTCCAATGACTCATATTTTCCGTCTCCCACAGTTCTCCTTTGAAAAAAAAAAAAAGAGTTGACGTCATCCTCCCACAGACAAAACCAATTCAGGGATTCTTTCTGGGCAATCAGACCTCTATTTATACACAAACACGCCATAATAAATCAGAACACATCATGGGTTATGCAATAAGATGCGGTCACTTCTTAACTGATCAACAACTGGAGTTTCACTGGGATCACTAGAGGAGGAAAGAAAAGTGGACGTCTCTATTCAAAGCCACGTCCATGACCGTGACATTTGTTTTGACAGAGTCACTTCCTGATAAATCATGCCCACTGCTGGTTCAACCTTTTGCCTTTCCTGTTATGTTAATCATCAGCTCTAGCAGCGATATAGAGGCACTCCTGATAGGATCGTCGACTCTTTTGGACTCTTCCTCCAGATGCTGGTTTCACATGGTGGTTTAGATGTGTTCTACCAAAGTCTAGCACCATTTGAAATCAGTGTTCTTGGGGAGGGATTTGCACTGGATTGTGTTTCAATATCATAAAATATTTGAGAATAACAACAAAAAGCACATTGCTGTAGGCCAAATGTAACAGTTATGAGAAATTGAAGGAAATAATGCCTGCAGAAGAGTCAACAACATGTTTGTTAGCCTAAATATAAGCTTTTAAAAGGATAGTTCCTCTACAAATGAATAATCGCATTGGCTTTCATTGTGGAAATCAAAAGAAATTAATATGTGACAAATCATAAAGGATTAAAATGACAAAGGCTTGATTTTAAAAGTGAACTGTCCCTTTAAGGATCTTTCCATGTGTAGCGATATGTGAAATAAGTAATCTTGGGGAGGGATTTACTCCTGGATCACATTTCGATTACAGGAGAAGTTGGACAATAACTAAAAAGACATGTAAAAAATGACAGCAACATGGCAATATGTAACTATTATTAGAAATCTAAGGAGATTATGTCTGTAGCAGTGTCAACATCATGTTTGTTAGCCTAAACTAACTTTTAACGGGACAGTACAGCTAAACATTAATCATTTTTTATGAACTATCCGTTTAAGTGTTTTGTCATGTGTAGTGATATGTGAAATAAGTGCTCTTGAGGAGGGATTTGCTGCTGGATCACATTTCGATTTCAAGCAAAGTTGGAGAATATCAAACAAAGGAGATTTAAAAACAGTAACAAAGAAGTGACAGTAACACACACACTTATACACTACAGACAGTTTAGCCTACCCAATTCACCTGTACCGCATGTCTTTGTACTGTGGGGGAATATCACCCGGAGGAAACCCACGCGAACGCAGGGAGAACATGCAAACTCCACACAGAAACGCCAACTGAGCCGAGGCTCGAAACAGTGACCCAGCGACCTTCTTGCTGTGAGGCTACAGCGCCACTGCTTCGCCCCCAACTTTTCATTTTGATTTTCTATAATTTCAGTTTCTTTAAGTCTATAATTTTTTCTACTGTCTGGTTTTTGTACAAATGTATTTACTTTTTACTCTTTTTTTTTCAAATAAATGTTTAATGTTTTATCCTTTATTATAATTAATGCTATTATGATACATTTAGATGTTTTATTCTACAATTATGGATTTTGGAAGTATAACCCCCTTGGCGGTCATCAGAAAAACCCTCCAAAACAACCAATAGGAACTTTAAATCTTCCAAATACATCACCCCTCACAAAATAGACCACATTTTATGAGTGCATCCTAAAACTGCTGAATTTGATTCTTGCCTGCCTGTCTTTATATGAGCTTTAGTGTGTTTGTGTGTTTAATTCCTTTGTTTGACCTGTTGAAGAGGGCCAGTGAAGACCCTCATCTCTCTCTCTCTCTCCCCACCAAACGATGACTGATTTCCTTTGGTGCTTAGAGTCCCATCTGTCATCTAGCACCATTTGAAATCGGTTATAATGACTGGGGATCAATTCTTCAGCTTCTCTCAGAGAGCCATCGCTGCCTTTTTTCCAATATTGCATGTGTGCTCAGAACTTTTAAGAGCTTATTGCTAATTTGTTTGAAAATAAATCTCACTTTTTTTTCAGCTGAATATGAGTGTTATTTATTGAGGTTCCACGTATTCATCACTAAATAAATCAAAAGGCTGTAATCAAGACTAATTGTCTAAATCTGTTTTGGGTTTTAGCTGATCTCTAGTTCAGTTCTGCCCTCTGTTGGTTAGAAAGCGACACTTCAAGTTTAGTAGTTTGAGAATTAGGTTATTATGAAGCCGGATATATTTTTATTTAGGTGATAATAGATTCAATTAAGTCAGTCTTACACTTTTCAGAACACACATCATATCAAAGCCTCCTAAAAGAAAATTATTGTGTTATCATGTAATTACTTAAAGGGATAGTTCATCCAAACTCACCATTTACTCAGTTTCAAAACATTGAGTTTATTCTGTTGAACACAAAAGACGCTATTTTGAAAAACATTGAAACCTGTAACCGTTGACTTCCATAACAAATACTATGTCAATCATTAGTATCTTTTGTGTTCAACAGAAAACAAAAACTCAAACAAGTGAATGCATCAGTAAATTGACATTTTTTTCCATTTGTGGTGATAATTCAATAGGTTCATATTGTATTGAACTCAATAATTCATAATTCATAAAATTATTTATTAAATAGTTTTAAAAAATTAAGGTTAAATGCAACTACAAATAATTGAACATGTATATGGTCTATAAATGTTTTATCTGTCATTTTAGTTGATTTTAGAAGCAAATAAATGCTTGTAAGAACATTTCTGAATATTTTTACAAGGGAATTTGTAATTTAGTATGAAATAAACAACCACAAACGTTTGCTTAAAGTGGAAGTGAAGCACTGAGTCAAATTTATAACAAACATGATTAAATGTAACCATTTTAAAGAAATGAGAGTGTTTGATCTTACGTTTTAGTGCAAAATGTATGATAAACACCCTCTTTTCTTCAAAATTGGTAATTGTAGTCATGCTTGTTATATATTTGTTTCATTACAGGTCAAAACATTTCTTCCAGGTATTTATTTGTTTCTAAAATTAATTAACATTACAGAAAAAATAAATATAGAATATATGCATGTTCAATTATGTGTAGTTGCATTTAACCTTTAACTTTTAAGCTATTTAATGGATAATTAATTATGAACCTATTGAACTGTGACCCCACTCTGTATGGGTTAAATGAGACCATAAGGTATAGTTAGGATAAAAGGATAGTTTACTCAAAACTGAAAATGTTGTCATCTTTTACTCATCCTTCACTTGTCACAAACTGTTTGAGGTGGAATTTTAGTTCATTTTAGAAGCAAACAAATGCTTGTAAGAACGATTTTAAAGTTGGGAATATGTCATTTAGTATGAAATAAACAACTGCAAACCTTTGCTTAAAAGCCTTTAACAATAAGCTCCTGTGACTGAAACATGAATTCATTATCAGTGTCTCTCTGTAATAAAGATGTGTACACTTGGGGAATTATTAACCACTGTTTTACGACCAAATATGCATTTTTTAAACGGTAATCATGAAGTATCCTTCCTGATATTGTGTCCAAGTCCAGGCAGGAAATTTTATTATAAATATACTCTCTGGGTTTGCCATCAATGTTCATATTTAGAATTTTCATATCTTTGAATATTTTCATTAGAGCAGGAGTGTCAAACTCAGCTCCTGAAGGGCAGCAGCTCTGCACAGTTCAGCCTAAACCCTAATTAAACACACCTGATCCAACTAATTGAGTGTTGAATCTAAACTGCAGAGATGAGTTTCACATCACTCCATTAGCTGCAAAATAGCAATAGGTCAACAAAACACACTTTGAAAAAATGGAAATGAGGAGTTTAGATGCAAAAACCTCTAAATGCAGTCCTCTAAAATGAGCATTTTTATCAGGCTTCTGTGCGTATGTTCAGTAACATCACTTTAATGGCAAGGAATAAGTCCTTTTCCTGGTCTTTAACGTGTAATACCTCAACATAAACAAAGGAGGCTGAGAAAAATGTTCATTTTCGATGGAAATATCAGACGACACTTAGAAGTTTTTTTTTTATCTGAACTCTTCAAATGTAATTTTCTGCAAATAAATCCCCTACATTATAATATATTTGATTTTTTGTGCCAGACATGCTGTGAGTACCTCAAAAAAAAAAAAAAAAAAAAAAAAACTTTTTCCTCAAAACATAGCCATATAATCCTGGCAAATTATTACATTGGACAGGCTATATACAAAATCATATCATTACTATTCTATTAGGCTATATTTATATTAAAAAGCTGCAAATCACATAAAATGATATTGATATAATGATAATGCAATATATACAATATATTTTTTCATATAAATAAACAAGCACTATATTATTATGTTATAAAGTATTAATTGCAGTACTATTAATAATTTACTAAATAATACACTGATAAATTTATTTTCTGTTCGGGATGAGTTGGCATTAAAAGAGGAAGGGGAAAAAAAGCAAAAACAAACAATAAAGCGTTTACTGGTTTTACTGACTCACAAAAAGTGTATTCGCTGTGAACAGTCAGGCTTTTCTTTGTGGCCAACATTGCTCAAAGTGATTTTTAATGAGTAACCATAAGCCTCATTAATCTGAAATAAGCAAAACCAACGTTCTTAGCACTAATGAGGATATTGTAAGGGGTAACTCTTCATCCAATTCAACTGTCATCCTATTGAGAATAGATCCAGAAGCCAAAATGTTTCTGTTATTTGAAAAATGTCCATTGCAAACATCTACATGTTATCAGTACTATTCAGTTTATCTTGAAATGCAGTCGAGTAAAGAAAAAGGCTAAATGCTTCAGTGCATTGTCGCTATATGTTTACCAATATTAGTAATATTGAACTTTTTTTTTTTTTTTTTTTTTTACATTATATTATATTTTCTAATAACATACAAAAACACTAAGGGGTTTCTAAAACAAAAGTTGAAAATACATCAAATAAAAATCATTTAACCATTAAGAGATTAGTTTGTTTCAAGTTCCTACCTAAAGTCAAGTCTAAATATGTTTTGATGTTGATGAAGTGTGTTACTCTTACAATGCCTTTATCTACTCTTGATTAGAGACAACAACAACAAGTATATAATTCTAACATGAGATCCAAAATAATATATAAAAAAATTGAGTTAACAGTTTACATTTCAGATATAAAACAAAAGACTAGTTCGTTTTAGAATAGATGTCTCCATAACTTCAGTACATCAGGCATTATAAATTATGTAGACATCAAGATCATTCTTCAATTAATTTGAATTGTTTGGCTATTATAATTGTATATTGACATTTCTTACTATTAATACACTAAAGCGAGTCCACATATAAACTGTAAAAACCCTTAAAAAACAGGTTTAGAATTAATTTTTCCACATTTATGAATATGAGATTTACCAAACAGATCCTTTATGTAGGCTACAAGGCAGAGCAGAAGCAGAGGTGTTTCGTCACCTTAAATCCCTCCCCCATTACTCTTAACCGCTCCTGATTGGTCATGATTTTAGATTTCCGCCATATTCAAAATCCGTCCTATCCATTGAATAGCTAGCTTCCCCTTTCTATTCATCCCCCCTAAAATAACCCGTTTTTAACTGTATTACGTATTATACAAACAGTTTACAGTAACGCAATCCAAGTCCACGTCTTTCAAATGGAAGAAACCGACGGATCTCCAGCGCCAATGGCAGAGCCAGTCAACGAAAGACCGAAGAGGAGCAAGAGAAAGTCGTCAATGGTGGAGGCGGACGGGTCCCCAGAGCGCACTTTCAAACGGTCAGGAAGATAATATCAGACGCATTGTTATTGTTGTTATACATCATTATTATTACTACGTTACAGCTTGCACTATTATAGTCTGCGAATTCCTTTGCAGATTATCCCATATTCTGCAAATGTGCAAACTGCAGCGAATCGGGAAATGAGGAAGTGTAACGTTATTAACTCATTTATAACATTTAAACGACATCTTACGACAAATAACCATGTTTCTTATATAGTAAAAGTGTAATAATAGCAGAAATGTATTGCTTACAAATATTGTAATCACGTTTTTAAATAAAAAAAACTATGGAAGGTGTGGGGAAAACTACAATTTAACGATGATTAATTTGTGGTTAAATTACTAACACGTTTCTTAGCCTTTATTTGTGGTAAACCCGTGGTTAATATTCCTCAATGGCTATATATGTAGATCATATAACTTCTCTAAGGAGTTATGGACTGGCGAGTACAGATCTCTGTTTGTTTTGCTCTCAAAGTGAGAAAAACTTCCGCAATACGTCGTCACATTAAAACAAAGCATGACGGCAGGAGGGCAACCTTGTATGGCTGCAATGTTTTACCAAACCACACGATGGCGCTGACGTCTCACAAAATAACAATGGAGTTCAAGGCAAGCCACACCATAAACATACACTCAGCAGCCTCTTTATTAGATACACCAGGAATGGACAACTTCGGTCCTGGAGGGCCTTTGTCCAGCAGGGTTTTGCTCCAACACTAATCAAACACAGCTGAACATGCTAATCAGTAATCAGAAACACATGCTTATTTGAATTACTTGTATTCTCTGTTATCTGGCAACCCTGAGATGGCGTAATGTAATGAAAATCCCAGCCTTTTTGCCACCCAAAAACATGCCAAGTCACTTAAATATAAATTTTTACCTATTCTGATGCTTGGTTTGAACTTCAGCAGATCATGTTCTTGACCAGTGTTCATCAAACACTCCCTCATCAAACACACCTGATTCAGATCAGACTCATTAGCAGAGACTGAAAGACCTGTAATGGGTGTGACAGACAAAGGAGACATCCAAAACATGCAGTGTTGGTGGTCCTCCAGGAACGTGATTAAAAAACGTTGTTCTTGAACATGTTTACCTGCCAAAATGCATTCAGATTGGCTGTTTGCATTTGTTTGTGCA